TGACATTCATAAGGCCTCTTTGGGGGACTCTTACAAAGAAGCTATGCGTACTAGCAGGAAATATGTTCTACAACAAGAAACTTATGTAAATTGGGTTTATATGAGGATTATGGGGGCTGGGGAGATAGCTCAGTGGTCTAAGCACCTGCCTGGAAAGTGCAAGGAACCAGGTGTGATCCCCAGGACCACAAGTGAGACCCTGTACCAAACAAATAACTAAGTAAATAAATAAATAAATAAATACATATTTTAAAAAACAACTGTTTTCTACTAGTAGGTGAACTTCTGCAAGAAAAATTTTGTTGCTGTTGTTTTTTTTCCCCCCATATTTGAAGATATGAGATCATTAAGAATATGATTAGCAAACAACAAAGTAACCTCAAACAGTGAGATGGTTTGTACCGGGAATGCTCTCTGTGAGCCATGTACAGAAGGTCCAGTTCCCCGAGTGGGGTTATTGGATGGCTCAGGAGTCTGCAGAGGGGGTGCTCAGTTGAAGGACTTCGGGCCCCTGGGAGCATGCCTTGGAGGGCAGAGGTGGGATCCTAGCTATTTCCTGCTTTCCTTTTCGTTTCCCAGACATGAAGAAAGCAGCTTTACCCTACCATGCTTCCACCATAATGCATGCCCTACCACATCCCCAAGCTGTGGGGCCAACTGGTGGGGACTGAAATCTCTGAAGCCCTCAGCCAAAGCAAACCATTTGTCTTTACAAGGTGAGTATTTTAGGTATTTGTTACAGTGATGGGATCTAAGACAAATAGCTGACTGCATATTTTACTTCTTTTGCAAATGCATATAGTTGTACTAATGAATTCATTTCTGGGTTCACGTGGTCTAGACCCGGCCAACAAGGGGGTACCATCCTCCAGTGAGGACTGCTATGTTCACATTGTGATTGGTAGCTTGTTGGTGGCTAGCTACGCATGAATTCGGGCACGAACACATAAACTGGAGCTTTAAAAAATAATTCAAAGAACGTTGTCTCAGTTACTCTTCTCATTGCTGGGACAAACACCCAACACTCAAAATTAGGGAAGGAAAGGTTTATTTACCTCACGGTAACTGGAGGTTTCAGTCTATACTCAGCTGGCTCCAAGGCAGAGTGGCACAAGATAGAGAACCACCTTTCATGGCGGTGGCAAAGAACAAGAGAGCAAAGGGAGTAGCAGCAGCTCAGGCAGCTAGCTGGCCCCTCTCCCCTCCTTACATTGTAATGCAAATTGCCCGCCCCAGGGCAGGTGCAGCATCCACGCCCACAGTAATCAGTCACAAACTCCAGAAGCCACCCCATGACTGCACGAGGCTTTGGGGGGACAACTAGATAAAAACCATAACATTCTGACCCTAGACATCCAAAGACTCAAGCACATCCCTTTAAGCAAAAGACAGTTTAGTCCATCTTTAAGAGTTGCTAAAGTCCTACAGTATCAGCATTCTGAAAAGTCCAAGTCCCAAGTCTCTTCCAAGACATAAGGCCAACTCTTAGCTGTGAGCCCCTGTACAAATAGAGTTATACACGTCTGACATTCAGTGGCACAAGATAAACATTAACATTCCAAAAGGTATAAGCAACAGAGGAATACAAAGCCCTGGGACCAACACAAGTCCAAAATCCAACAGGGCAAACATTAAATCCTGTAGTTCCATGTGGAACACCCGAAGCAATCTGTGGCAAATTATGGCTCCAAGTGGCTCCACCCCTGTGGTACTCTCCGTAGCTCCCATGGCTTCTCTCTTAGGCTAACTTTGCTCCCTCCTTGCAGTTTACTTTAGATGATCCACATTTCTAGCTTTTCCAAACTTCTGGGGTTTCTACTGAATAGGCTTCTCACTCACACTTTATACACTGCCCTCTCAGGGGCACCCTGCCTGACCTTGCAGGACTTCTTCTGAAATCTAGGTGGAAGCCTTCTTAACCTCAGAACTCCTGCATTCTGCAAGCACCTAAAGCTGGCATCACCCGATGCCCAGGGCTGCTGCCAACTGGAGCAGGAGCCAGGCTTCCTTCTCTCTTGGCTGTAGGGGCTGAGTGCTACGATCACCTAGAACTTTTGTTTTTCATTTATGTATTTGGTACAGGTCTTGTGATGCAGCTCAGACACATAGTGACCCTCCTGCTTTCAGCCTCCCCAGGGCTAGCTTTATAGGTGTTTGCCACCACACCTGGACTCAGTCACTGGCTCAGTGCACCCTCGGGGTAGGGCTAGCATGGCATACGGGACCAGGGTTTGATCCCTGTGATCAAACACTTACGCTTGTCAAAGCAGGCACTTAATCAGCTGAGCTGCCATGCTGGTCCTTGACTGAGTACTTTGAACCTGATTCTAAGGAAGGAACATGGGGCTTTACAGCTTTTCCCTCAAGACAAAGTCCCTGCCACCTCCTGTGATGCCTGCAGGACATCTTTTCTATTCTCCTGTTCCTCCTGAGCAATGGAGATCTCAGCTCTATCTCTGCAGTCCACAGCCTTCCTGGCACTTCCTTTCTGGTCAAACTCACATTTCAGATTATCTTGCTGGGCTCTTTGTTCTTGATTCTCAACACGTATCTGAGTAAAAGCCCCAAAAATAACCATGCCACTGCCTCAACATTCAATGGCATTGAGATTTTTTTTTGTCAGATTAATAAGTCTACCATGCTTAATCTCAGTCTCAGGCAAAGTCTCTAGACATGAGCAAAATTCAGATAAACTTTCAGCCAAGCCATAATACAAATTATGTGGAGTCAAACAACCAATGCAGTCCTTCTTCCCAGCAGAAACCTCCCCAGCCTGGTCTTTTTAAAATTTTTTTCCTCCCCACCCCCACCCATGCTCCCCAGCCTGGTCTTTATAAGCAGACTTCTGCCAGCCTTCTGGTCTTTTGAGCTCTGACCAGAATCTCCCATACAGAACAGCCAAAGGTGTTTCAGTGCTTCTCTAACAGGCAGTATCTCCAAACCTTTCCTATCTCTTCCCATAAGCCATTCCCCAAAGCTTGTAATTCACATGTTTAGGTTTAGCCACAGCATCGACCCCACTCCTGGTACCAAATTCTGTCTTAGTTACTCTTCTCTTGTTGCTGGGACAAATAGCCAACACACAAAATTAGGGAAGGAAAGATTTATTTAGCTCAGTTACTGGAGGTTTCAGTCCATACTTAGCTGGCTCCAGGGCAGAGTGGCACATGGCAGAGATAAACCTTTCATGGTGGTGGCAAAGAGCAGTGAGAGCTAATGGTGTGGCAGCAGCTCAGGTAGCTAGCTAACCTCTCATCCCTCCTTACATTGTAATGAAAATTACCTGCCCCAGGCCAGGTGCAGCATCCACACTCACAATAATCAATCACGAACTCCAGAAGCTGCCCCATGACTTCATGAGGCTTTGGGGGGACAACTAGACACATACCACAAAAGATATTTACCTTACAAGCATCACTATATAAAAGAGGGCTTTGGTTATTATCCAAAATATATAAAAGTTTGTGGTTGAAAGAGAATACTCTTAGACTCATTATAATGTCTCTGTGGGCCACAAGAGCACTCAGCATCCTCCTTGTTCCCATGGTCACCTCGACTCCCTCAGCCGGCCCATTTCCCAGCTTAGTATTTCTTTAGTTTCAAACCCTGCACCCAGTTGTGTTCAACTTGCCTTCGCATTTCCCTTTTTAACATTCTCTTGCAGAGAGCAGAGGAAGGAAGGGTGACCTCTGTATCTGCCATGTGGGTGCTAGGTCCACCCTCACTGCCTAGCAGTGGCCAAGGCCTGGGGCTGGTGTCCTCCAGCCTCTCAGGAAGTGGGCACAAGTTGTTCCTTTGGGTGGCTCTGCCTGCAGACAACACTTTGCCACAGCATGTCGCTTGAAGCTGCCTCCTGCAGCCACTTTGCCACAGGATGTTCTTTTATTCTTTTGGCCTCATCATTGTTTAATGTCTGGACACAGAGCCTACTTCTCAATTTTACCACCACCATACCCGCAGGAAACCTGTGTTTTTATTTTATCAGGGAGCTTTCTCAGGGCCTGTCTTTACTCATAAAGGGATCTCTGCTTGCAGCTCTATTGAGAATGTGGAGCGCCATACAAATCTCTTTATAGTTAATTACAAAAAGTGACATCTCAGTACAGTCATCATGTAATAAACTATAGAAATTTAAGAGGCACCAACTCTTCAGATTGACAAATGGTAAGATCTGCAGAAGTGTTGACTTTGGTCCCCGTCTACACCCTACAGTACTGAAGTAAAAGCCGTTCCAAAATAGTAGACCACAAAAATACATATACACATATATGTATATATATATTATTTTTTAAGACACAAACATGAAGCAAAATGAAAAACGTATTCATATACTAATACATGGTAAAATACATTATAATAATATAGTAACAGAGAAAGTATCATTTTTTCATCTAATTATATGCGTTAGTATATGTGTAAATGATCACTCAATTAAATTCATTTTGTAGGTGATTATTGTGTTCAATCTGTTGAAGGAGAAATTAAAAATTTAAGATGGGGCTTAAGGTAAAACAAAAGGGAGAAGAAAGAGAAGGAAGAAACTAGGCTTTAAAATTCTAAGGACATTTCACGCTGGTTTTATTTGTGAATTTTCAATTGTATTTCCCTAATATTCTTATGTTATTTGTGGGTAGAATTCACACCATTAATAAGATCAGCATATATATGATTTGCTTATAAATACAAAGCAATATTAATATATTAATATATAGTGTGTAATCCTACTAAGTTTATAGACATAATGTAGTCTCGATTAAAAAATAAGTGGATTCTAATTATTCCCTCATCCCAACTGAAACATTTGAAAGATTTTTTTACTTTTGGCTCAGTTGTTTTGTCCCAAATATCTCTGTGTGTCATGGTTTCTCCGTTATAATTATTAAAAGAATACGCATGAAAGAATTCTGCAGCAATGTTGTAACCATATGTAACCTTGGAATTGAGGGAAGAAAAGCTTTAAGCAGCGTTCCTTTGAGAGGTGCAGCTGCGTTCCTTCCTACCTGCGGACGTCGTTAGGATTTCTGTGGTGTTCCTGAGGCCCATGAAGTCGAACTGATAAAGCCGCCACGATTTCTGGTCAGCCGCCTCGACTGAATTTTTTCTCCATCTATAAATCATTTCTTCTTTGGGGTAGCCATCTAAAAAATACAACCGATATTAGTACTTGGAGGTACAGGTCCATCACTCATTAAGGTAAACACTGTAAGTGTATCTTTAGTAAGACTCGAAATCGCAGGCAAACTTTCCCTAGAGACACTGAAACGGCATGTCCCCAGCCTCGTGGCGGACGCTGCCCGCAGGCGCCCCGGGCCGTGCGAGCGAGCATGCGTGGGAGCGTGCGTGCGTGGGAGCGTGCGTGCGTGGGAGCGTGTATGCGTGGGAGCGTGCGTGCGAGGAAGCGTGCGTGCGTGGGAGCGTGCGTGCGAGGAAGCGTGCGTGCGTGGGAGCGTGCGTGCGAGGAAGCGTGCGTGCGTGGGAGCGTGCGTGCGTGGGAGCGTGCATGCGTGGGAGCGTGCGTGCGAGGAAGCGTGCGAGCGTGCGTGCGTGCGTGCGAGCGCAGGGGCCGCCGCGCCGGCGCCCTGTCCTTGAAGCGTCAGGCTGCCCGCAGCTGCAGCCCTGTGAGGGGAGAAGCTGGTCAGCGTCTCGGCTGCTGGCCCGGGGAGCTCGTCATACAGCTCTAACTCCGCGGCCCTGCTCATTCCATTCCTCCCTCCTGCCCTAAGAGTTCCTGCGACCCGATGTCCAGAATGAGGACTTGAGTCCATTTTCGGCCCAGCACTCATGAAATCAGCGGGCCTTTGGCCCTTGCCGCGCCGGGATGCGATGCATCCTCCAGGGGCCACGTGCTGGAAGCCTGGTCTGCAGCGTGGCAGCGCTGAGAAGTCACGAGAGGGAACTTCCACACAGCTGCCGGGGGTGGGGGTGGGGATTGGGGATTGGGGGTGGGAATGGGGGTGGGGGTGGGGCCGGGAGCTGCTGGGGGTCAGGGGGAGAGTGGGGGGGGGGGGCCGGGAGCCACGTCCTCAGGGATAGCTTAGCGCCCTCCCCGGGAGGCCTGGCCTTGCTCTGCAGGGGATTAGGTTTTGCAGGAGCCACTCGGCGTCAGGAGAGCGTCGGTACCACAGGGAGGCTGCGCACAGCACCACGCTCCTTCCACATGTGCCCCGTTCCTTTCCACTTTCCATCAGGGTAGAAAGAAGCATGAGGACCTTACTGGAAGCCAAACAAACGCTGAGGTCATGCTCTCGGACCCCCAGAACTGTAAGATAAATTTTTTCTTTATCCGTTACTCAGTTTGGTTATAGGGCCAGACAGCTAAGACAGCGCTACTCGGATATCGGTTTCCACTCTGATGAACAGACTCTGGCCTCTTTCGCACTGGCCCTGTTGTTAATTATTTCAGGAGGAAAGACCCTGGTGCCTCTGCTACAGGAGGCCCAGTAGTGACGTGCCCACAGCCAGGGTATCGCGACTGGTACCTTGGCACACATGCCTCACGACTCCCTAAGCCGGAGCCGGGCGCTGGCCACGTGTCTGCCCCTCCAGCTGCACGCACTTCTGAGCTGGCTTGGAGCAGTGCGGCTGGCTCTGCGCTGGAGGCTGACCTGGTGCACTGTCTCCTGCTACTGCGCTATCTTCAAGCGCTGCAGCTATGTTGGCCTCGTGAGACATGCCACAATCCCAAGAGAAGGCCCATGTCCCAGGATGTCACCCAGCCGCATTGGCCTTGTCAGCCTTCATGGTCCCCACAGACAAGCAAGCCTGACATCTCCTGAGGGATATCCTGAATATACAGCAGCTTGCGCTGACGCGCACGAGCTTGCAAACATTCTCACGAGGTGGCTGAACGCTGAAGAGAAGCCATCTGGATGATTTTGTAAAAGTCTTCAATGCAGTCCCCCCTGTTAACTGTTCCATCCTCTGGCCTGACCTTGTTGGCTTGCTGATGACCTTCGAGACTGACCCAGATCACAGGCCCTGCTCGCGAGGCTCTCATCAGCACAGCAGGGGCACCTGCTCCACCCCGACTGGATGGGGTTGAGCGCCAGGCCCGCAGCCCGGCCTGAAGCTGCCTTAGTCATGCGTGTTTCACTTGGCTTTTAGCCACTGCCCCATCGGATCACATTCCCAACAGGCGGACGTAATTAGAAAGGGTGCTTCTGCTACAATTCAGTGTTCTCTAAAAACTTCACCAAACTGCAACTTAAATACATAAACTTATTATATTTAATATGTACATCTAAGTGGTTTTTAATGTATTCTTGTGGTGGTGAAACTACCAACACAGTCTAAATCCACAAAATGTTTATCACCCCTCGTGAAATGTTGGCCCTTTTGTCCTTTACTTCTCCAAGGCCGCCTCTGATCTCATCGTGTCCTAAGGAACCACTAATAGAATTTCTGTACCTCGTGATTGGCCCATTTTGAATATTTTGTATAAATGGAATCATACAATGTGTAATATTCTATGATTGGCTTTTTTTACTCAGAATAATGCCTGCAAGGTCCACTTATACTGTAGTGCTTTTTGACACTTCATTTCTATGTATTGCTATATAATATTCCATTTTGTAGATATATCAGATTTGATTTACTGGCTGCTAAACATTTCAGTTGAGTCCACTTTTTCACTATTGTGAACACTTATGTAGAAGGTTTAGTCTTCAACATGTGTGTTTAGTGTTCTTGGGTAATTCTGTGCTTACATTTCAGGACTGCTAGACTGCTTTCTGAAGTGAATGTACCCAAATCCTAGTGGCAGGGTGCAAGGGCTTGTTTCTCTGCTGTTCGACCGACACTGCTAGCATCTGTCATTTTAGCTGTCACAAGCGTGGTAGGTGTGAAGTGTGCGTCACGCTTCCCCCCGCATTTCCCTAGCAATGCTCAAGGCTATTGTATTATCATAGTTTTATTGGCAACGTGTATATTTTCTTAACGAGATGCTTGTTTAGATGATTTCCGGCTTATTTTTTAATAGGCTGTTTTCATGTAATTGACTTTTAAGAAGTATTTATATATTTGGGTAGAAGTTCTTTATCAGATACATAGTTTTGCAAATATTGTCTCCTACTTTGCGGCTCCTTGTGTGTCTCACGGGAGCCATTTTTATTGCGTACTGTGCACTCCGCCTATGATTTCCATGTGACCCACCACAAGTGTGCGGCTCTGCTTGGTGAGGGCTCGCGCTGCCCGTGTTCCCGCGACTCTCCTCCAGCACTGTGTTTTGAAACTGACTGTTTTGGAGCAACTGCTGGCACATGCAGAAAGGTAGGGAAGGTTCTGGGGCACCCGCGCATGCCCAGCCCTTGCACCCTAGCAATCCCGCCGAGCGGCACGCGTGTTGCAGCGGATGAGCCCCGCTGACACATGGCCCGTCGCCGACACACCACTGGGCGCAGGCCCCGTGCACGCGCTCCCCGGTGCACGCGCTCCCTGGTGCACGTGCTCCACGGCGCACACGTGCAGCAGCACCCGCTCCTTGGAGCTGCCTGACATCTGCGTTTGGTCATCTGGGTTTGGACGAAGGTGCACGGTCTTCATCTGCCTCGGCAAGGCACGTCTCCACTTGCCGTCTGCTGCACTGGCCATCTCGCCTCCAGCCTCACTCCTAGGACTCACTGAGCTTCTACTTTCTCCACAGCGGGGCCTTCTTGAGGGTCATATAGGTTAAATCATAAAGTATGAGGATATTTTAGGCTGGTAAAATGCACTTATGTTTCCTCCCTGGTATTTCACGGCTCAAAGTCTCATTTCCTTTTAGTGCTAAATAACATTCTATTCTTGAAATATGCCACGTTTTACTCAACCAGTCGCACCCGGAAGGGCACCTTGGTTTCTCCCCGCTTCGTCAGCTGGCAAGCAGGTGCAGCCAGCGTCCACATGTGTTTCAGTGTGGATGCTGTGTGGCTTCTGATACCTTCTTGTATAATTTTGAAGGAAAATTTTATTAATCTTAGGGTGATCGGTTGACACAAGGTTGTGTTCTGCGCCGTGAAGCTGTCACCCAGCGGTGCAGGGCCTCGGCGTTTCCTGAGGACCGTGTGCCGCTCATCGTGTGGCAGCCTGGTTCTTTTGTCCTGCTACTTTCTTTTTTTTTTTTATTTTTTATTTTTTGCAGAACTGGGGATTGAACTCAGGCCCTTGCGCTTGCCAGGCAAGCACTTATTCTACTGAGCTGTCTCCTAGGCCCTGTCCTGCTATTTTCAAAACTGTCTTTCTGCCCTTAGATGACACTGTTAACGTGACACCTATAATTGCATAGGTGCCAATTATTTCAAATTCACTAGAGATTCCTAGGCTTCTAGAATTTTTAGGCTTCAGAACTGTTTTTGTCAAAATGTTGGCCATTTATTTGTTAAAGAGTTTTGGCCAGTTTCTGGGGTCTTCTCCAAGGTCTCCACGACGTGTGTGCACCTCCCGGCTCTGCCGTGCGCACCCCAAGCACGTGAGCTCCTGCGCACGTTGCTTCGCTCCCTCCTGCTTGCCCTTCTTACTGGACCCCCTCTCCAGGTGTGCGGAGGTTCTCTCCCGCGGCCTGGACTCGCTGCCTGCCCACTGTGTTTCCCCAAGCCGCTAAAACTTCCACTGGGTTTCTTTTCAAAATGTCTATCTTTTCACAGATACGTACTCTTTACTTGGTGAGACCTAGTTGTTTTAATTTCCTTTAACATTTTTTCCTTTAATTTTAAAACCATAATTTCCTGTATTCTTTGAATGTATTTAAACTAGCTGATTTAAAGATGTTTTCTAATTCAACATCTGGGATTCTTCAATGATAATTTCCATTGCAGGCTTTCCCCCTCTATGTATGTGGCACAGTTTTCTGTTTCTATTTAGTTTTTAAAGTTTTTCTTGAGAGCCAGGCATTTTAGGAAAAAAATATTGGCAAAGTCTGATATCATATCTCTTCCTCCAGTCCAGAGTTTGCTGCTGTCTCTTTTCTTGTTTATTTTTGGCGTAATCACTCTGGACTGACTCTGGCTGCTGTGCTCCCTGCACTGTGTGATCACCAGGTCCTTGATAACTTCTGTTGATTACTCTCATCGTAAGCCTGCCCACCTTCGCCCACCCGTGGTCCATGCTAATTTACGGCCAGCCAAAGACTGGCCACAAGGCTCCCTTTAGTACTTCATCTTTC